TATGGGGAGACCTCAAAGAACTAGGACTAGAGGTCCCATTTGACCCAGCTATTCCCCTGCTGGGTATCTTCCCAAAAGAATGAAAAGAATCATACCACAGTGATATATGTGCACCCATGTTCACAGCGGCATGGTTTGTAATAGCTAAAGCTTGGAAGCAGCCCAAGTGTCCATCAACTGGAAACTGGATAAAGAAAATGTGGGGTTTTTAAAAAATAGAGTACTAGTCAGCCATAAAGAACGAAAAACTAGAGACATTTTTAGCTAAATGGATGCATATCGAGGCCATACTCTTAAGTGAAATAAATAGGACACACATGTGTAAATACCGAATAGTTTCGCTAGTGTGAGAAACTGATAGTGTAAACAAAAGTTAAAATGATTAAAATGAATAATTGATAATTTGAAATAGGAAAAAAGGTCCAAAGATGAAGGAGTGAAGGGAGGGGAAGGGGAAAGGAAAAGAGGGAAAGGAAAAACTATGAGAGAAGAAAAAAAAATGGAAATGAAATCTATGTAAATAGGGAAGGGCGGAGTGGGTGAAGGGCTCACAGGTAATGGGGGAAAAAATACGAACCAAGATATAGCATGTACAGGTACAAACACCTAAAGATAAATGTAAATGAATTGTATACCTGAAGTGTACCAATAAAATTAATTTTTAAAAAATCCTTCTGAGCACTAGTTCATACCACTTCTTTATATTTAGTTAAAAATTTCTCTTGTGACATTCCCTGTGACTCATGGTTTGTTAAAGTGCATAATTTAGTATCCAGCTACTCGGGGATTTATAAATATTTTTATGTTATTGATTTTAAGTTAGTTCCTTTGTGGGCAGAGAAAATAATTTGTATGATTTCAATTATTTTAAATTTTTTTGAGGTTTGTTTTACGATATGAGCCCATTTTGGTGACTGTACCATGTACAGGTGAAAAAAGTGTTCCTCATTTACTGGGTAGAATGTTCTATAAATGTCAGTTAGGTCAGTGTGCCTGATAGGATTGTTCAGGTCGTCTATAGACATAGTTTAGAAAGTTGCCAGGCCTTTGTTGAAATCACCATCTTAGCTTCCAAAGATACTAATGCCTATATTCCACTTGTACAGGTTGTGATGCCATCAGGGGTGTAGACTGTTCACTGGAAGTATTAAAAGATGACCCAGTGATTCTAAGGTATAGACAAGTTTGGAACCCGTGGTCTGCTGCAGGATTACCAATTTTCTGTCTACTTGTTTTTCAAATTACAAAGCAGGAAGTGATGAACTATCTATAGTTTTGGGTTAGTTATTTTAATCTATCAGTTCTTGCTTTATTGATTTTGCATCTACTTAATCTTTTTTATTTAATTGTTTTAATATGAATTTTTCTGACTGCTAGTGAAAGTAAACATTTTTTAGGAAACAAAATATTTCTAGCCATTCAGCTTTCCTCTTCAGTGAGTTGCCTGTTTATGTTATTGGCATGTATTTATTTTGAGTTGTCTTTTTCTTACTGATTTGTCAGAATTTTTTATTATTTCATTTTTACTATATTGTGTCATCCTCTGGGTTATTTTTAAATTTTGGTTAATAATGGCTTTTCCTGTCTATAATATTTTTTCCTTTTTTCAATAATAAAAATTTAAAATTTTCCTAATGACTGGTGCTGTGTTGTCTGGCTTAACAAATTCGCCTCTATGGTGACATCATAAAGACATCGGTTTTCTTCTAAAAGTTTAGGGTTTTATTTTTCACATTTAGATCATCACTTTATTGGGAATTTAGTTTGTGGTGTGAGATCAGGATCTAATTTTAGATTCATATGCAAATAGCCAATTTAACTAGAAGCACCATAATTTGTGTTTTCAATAACTAATTAACAGTTATGGTATTAATTTACACTCCTGATTTTAAGGAATAATAGTTCTCTCCCACTACCTCCTCAAACACTTAATTCTCTGTGAGACATCTTTTCATAAACCAACTTCTAGGTGTCCTTTTTCGTTTTCTTTTTGTATACTCATGACAAGAAGTACCATATTTTTAAAAAGTTGCTTTAAAATATAATTAACATATGATCAAGTAATTCCACTTCCGAGTATATACCTGAAGAATTGAAAACAGAATCTGGAAGAGAGAGTTGCACATCTGTGTTCATAGCAGCACTATTCACAATAGTCAAAAGGTAAAAGAAATCAAAGTGTCTGTTGACAGATAAATAGATAAGAAAATATGATTGTTCAGCCTTTAAGAAACATTCTGCAATATGCCACAACATGGACGAACACTGAAGATAACAATTCTACCTATATTAGGTACCTAGAGTAGCCAAACTACTGAAGAAAGTAGAATAGAGGTTGCCAGGGGCTGTAGGGAGTAGGAAGTGTAGGGATTGTTATATGGGAACAGAGTTTCAGTTTATGACGACGCAAAGAGGCCTGCCAGGTCGGTAGCACAACAACGGTAATACACGGAATAGTATCGCCTACGAATGGTTAAGATGATAAATTTTATGTTATATGTATTTCACTGCAACTAGAATAGGTTTTTTAAAAGTTCGAGCAAAATAATGTTGCTTTTAATAGTTTTTCCTGGTCTTTGGAGTTCTACAATAGTTTCATCACTGTATGAAATTCTTTACGATAGTCTTGCACAAGAATAAGTGAGGATTGGGCCGATGATGGTAGCTAATAGAAGGATGCATGCCTAACATTTGCAGGGCCCTGGGTTCTAGCTCCAGGATAGTGGTGGGTATATATGAAACAAGGACTTCATGAATTTGAGGACCCAAATATTTTACAATTTTGGAAAATTCTTAGTCATTCCTCTTTGAATGCTGTCTACATCCATTATACCCATTCTCTCTACTCTTTTTGGCAGTCCTATTAGATTTATGTTGGATTTTTTCCTTCCATCTATTTAGCTCCTGCGTCGCATTCTAGTAAATGTTCTCAAATTGTGTACTGTAGTGCCAGCCAACTTGAGGGTTTTTAAAAATGCAGTCCATAAAAGGATTAGGGTTATGTGTCAGCAAGCTCTGCCCAAAGTGAAAACCCAAGCACAAGGCACACCTAAAGCTCACCCCTGCAAAGTTAAAACAAGAATGTGTTGCGTGGATGTGCAGCCTGTGTTTTACGAATATCAAAACCAAGAGGATGCGGTATTTTTGGACCTATGTTACAACGAACAGCGTCGTGGAGATTACAGCACACCTCGAAGCTGGCACATAGCCCTTCGTACCGCATGAATGACTCTGAACCAAAATCCATTTACAATAATAAATGCTTCAAGCTTCAAGTTCAAAAGCTTCAAGTTTTTCTGTGGGATGCTGTGAAAATAAAACGGGATAAGGTGAGTGAAAGGGCGATGCAAAGTACTATGATAATATTTTCTTAATTCTAAAATGTCATTCAGTGGTCAGGAGCAGTACAAATTTAGTAATAGTTTGGAGGAATACGGACAGAAATATTCTATTAGCGCTACATGATGAGCTTTCTGATTTGGGAAATGTAAAATATGGAAAAGTCTGCTTTTAGAATCGAGAGACCACGGTACTGCACCGGCTTGCTTTCTCTGATCTGCCTGCTAATGCTCTATTCTTGAATTTGAATGACTTCTCTCTGGTCCAGCATATACCAACAACCTCCCTCTTGACAGCAGCCAGGATTTTCCACGTAGACTCGACTCCAATTTTCAGGATGGATGACACCAGAACCTCTAGCAGAGGATCAGCTTTCTCACGCCGAGCTTCGCTTCTGTGCTTTCGTTGGCTGTTGCTCCTCCGGACCCGCCCCCAGGACCTTAATCGTGATTGGGGGTCAAAGCCCTTTTGTTATGGCAAAGGTGGATACGGGAGCTTTAAGATTGGACGATTGGGGCGGTGGGGAGCTACTGCGCAGGGCTACAGCTTTGGGTTGTGATTGGTGGGCGACGGGGCGGGGCGGGCTTCCTCGCTGTGCGCATGTTCCGTGGTCAGAGCGGGGGCGAGTCTGCGGGTGTGTGTTAGTCCGAACGTCCGAAGCTGAGGCGGCCCCTGGATCATTCCCACTCTCCCGGCGCCTCAGGCGAAAGGTGAGGGCCGGCCCGGGCGTAGGAGGGCCTCCCCGGTGCTTGGGGTGGCGGCCTCGGTACGCCGAGGGCTTGAAGGGCGGGGCGGGCTGGACGCGGCGCCCCGCGCTTGGGCTGGGTGTCTGGTGAGCACGAGGCCTGGCTCCCTGCAGCATCCGTGCGCACCCTTCCTCTCCCGCCGCCGCCTCCGGCCGGAGGCTCCTCTGGGCCGGGGCCGCAGCCCTCCCCTGACTCCGACCGCTCGTGGGGCGCGCTGCCGTGGGCCTCGGGGGTGGGACTCGCAGTCTGCACTTGGCCCCGGATGGTGAGGGGGCCCGGCAGCGGCGGGTTAAGGGATGAGACAGCTTTCCAGGAGCTGGAAGCAGAACCTGCGTTTGATGTCTTCGCCAGCTTCTCTCGAGAGCCCTGCTGATCAAGTTTAGGCGAGCGAGGTTTGGAAAGGAGAAAGAGCGTGCAGTCCCGAAAGGCGATTATACATCTGTTACACAATGCATCTATCGCAGACTGATGTAACAATATTAAGGACAAATGTCTTCCCAACACCTTATCTGCTATTCCCGAGCATGGAAAGCGGCCTAGAATCCTGGTATCTGTACTGCCCTTTCCCTGAACTCTGCAGACTGTCGCTCTGTGGGCAGCTGTTTTTAAGTTTAAATCCCCAAATGGTTCCTTGGTTTTGTGGAATTTGAAACTGGATTTATGTCTCTAACCTGAACAAGCCAAAGCGTAACAACTCCAGACAAACCACGTTGAAGTTGATGCAGCTTAAAGCGAATGAAATTTATCTTCAGTTGCTTAGTAGACGCACCAAAGAAGTTTGATATCAGTGGGTTGCAAAGTATTTGCCAAATTTAAATTAGGACCGTAATTAAGTAGGGTTTTGTTTTGTTTGGGGGTGTTGTTTTTGTCATTGCATAGTGAGGAAAAAAAGAGGTCGTACAGATAGATTTGAATTCACATTCTTGATACAGACATTGGCTGTGAAACGTGAGGCGAGATGCATAGCCTTTCTGAGATTTAATATCCACTTTTGTAAATTCCAACTTCCTTCTGTCGATATAAAATAATACGTGTAAGATTTTAGTGGTCTTACTAGTTCACTAGTGAGTGGACAACAGGTGATTAAAATCAGTTTTAGACACAGAAAAGTTGGGTCGTTGAGGTTGGACGGATGTCAGGTATGAGATATAAGAATCCTTTTGGTGGAATAGTGGAAGAAAGCAAGACTGGGACATCATCTTAGTCTTGACTGGGTGGACCAGTACTGTGATGTTAAGTAAGCCATTGTCATCTTTGGTCTGGTTTCTGTATTTGTAAAATGAAACAGCCGGACCGATGGGTTTTTTTGTGACCCAGATTACAGGTAAAAAGTAGAGACGATCATAGCTAACATTTATTGAAAACTTACAGGGTACACAAGCACATATATATCAACCCATTCAGTTCTCACAGCAAACCCACAAGGTGCATTCCTTTAGTATCCCCACTTCACACGTGAGGAACAGGCTATTTTAACCTTGCCCATGGTTCCAGAGCTTATAAATAGCAGGGCTAGGATTTGGATTCGGGTGCTGTAAGCCCATGTTCTTAGTCACTAAAAACTTCCTCTTGAGCAGAGATACTGTAAGAGTAATAGAGATAATTTTGGTAAGATGATAGTCTTTGGTCACAATTCAGCGTGTGGGAATAGGAAAGATAATTTTAATGTATCTTGTTCCAGTGCTTGCCACATGATTCTTATTTTCTCTATACTCTCTGCTTCCTGGACTTAAATGATCAAACATAACTTTAGATTCTCTTTCACCGCCAAAGGCAAGATACAACTAGGCATCAAAATCTGCTCTGATTTTTTTTGAGAAAAGTTTCAGATCTGAGGCAGGTTTAGGTTAGGCAGAGCAGCTTCCCATCCCAGATTCATTTCAAGTGTTCCTACATCTGAGCTGCTTTGGTCTGGATTTTCTTCGTGTCAGATTTGCATTTATGCAGATGAGCCAAAGGAGTTCAGATTGAACTCTTCAGAGCACATTGGGCATAGAATTGAATCGATGTAATGCGCACAACTCTAGATAAAAAGGATTATGTAGTAGAAAATCACAAATCTTGTACCACGTACATATTAGGATGTAGAACAGTTAATATAGGTAAGATGCAGTTTGAGGATTGATCTTCTTTTGAAAGAAAATAAAATTAATCCACAGCTAAAATATTTTAACGTAAATCAACAAACCCTTTGATCCTGTGTGTAAAATAAGTTTATTACTCTAAACCTACTGAAATACTGAGAATATGTGAAATAGCATTTTGAAGCCCTCCTATTTCATCACATCACAATGAAAGAAAATTGTTACTTTTTGTTGTGAAGAGGGGTGGACAGTGGGCTGGTCTGCTTTATTAAAGACAGTACAGGTCTGCATAGCTGCATGTACAGCTGGTCAGGTTTTGCATCATGTAGCCCTTGGGGTGCAGGCTTACATAGATTATGATGCCAACAGTGCTCCCCTGGGCTGTGTGGTATCCTGAAGCACTGTCCGGTGGCACTGCTTTTGTGCTCCTGCCCCCTCCTCAATCTTTTTTTTTTTTTTCCTCAGTTTTTTGAGACCCGATGTTGCTCTGTAGTTCAGACTGGCCTTGAACTCAGTAGCCTAGGGTGGCCTCAAACATAGCAATTCTCCTGCCTTAGCCTCCTGAGTGCTGGGGTTAAAGGCATGCACTATCATGCCCTCCTTAATCTTGAATATCTTATTTAAGCCCTCTTGACCCTGCTTTTCTGCTTTTATTTTCTTTTATTTTTGTCAGAAGTCAAACCAGGGCCAGGGATTTAGCTCAGAGGCACCCTGCCCGCCTTGCAAGCATAAGGTCCTGAGTTCCATCCCCAATACCAAAAAAAAAAAAAAAAAAGTCAGACCATTGATATTTCTTCATTGTGATTTTGTCTCTAGTATATAGGCATCTTTGTTCGACAGATCTGGGTTCCACTGTTCAACATGTGAAGGCGTAATAGTGCCTTGAGTATATTAGATGTTCATTTAATACTTGTTGACAAAACAGGTCTGGGTTGCTTCGTGCATGTTAGATTGGCTGGCAGAGTTCCTTTCAGTAACATTCTGGTAACATTTAATAAACTTTGCGCAATATGAAATGATTATTAAAAATAGAGCAGATCTGTTTTCATAGGAATTTTGTGCTCTGAATTTTGAAACCTTTCATTGAAATAGCAAACTGTTTATATCTATTTACTTACCTATTTCCTGGTTAATCTATTTCGGTTTAACCATAACCAGTGGACATTTTAAATTTATTCTGGTAATGATTAAGATACTTAGTGTTCCCTTTTGAAAAGAAATTGTGTAATTCTTTTGAGAAATTCTCGTGTAAATAATTAAACCTTATATATGAAGCAGTATCTTCTTCCCTATCAGCATCTCTAATGTGCTATGTTCTTGTTTTCTTATTTCACATAATTTACTTTATAAATATACAATTTTGTGAACATTCTACCATGTTACTAGAGTAACTGTAATTATTCTTAAAAGGCCTTTCATTATAAATTACAACTATAATTTACCACGGTGAATTGACAGCTATGTTGTTCTGATTTACTGGATTATAAGAGTGAAGATTTTTGTATTTTTGTGTATGTAATTTTACCTTCTTTGTAATTGTCCTTAGGCTAAATTTCAAGAGTAAAATAGTAAAAAGGATTTCAAATGTTTTTGTCAATCTTGTTTATTATTGTACTACCTTCTTAAAAGGTGTTACACATTAATATTTGTGTAATATTTGTGTATTTGTTTTTCCATAACTTCACTAGCCATTTGATCGTCTTTTAAAAACAATTAAGTTTACAGCAGTGTTTAATTTTATGTATTTTTGGGTTACCAAGAAGCCCTTGATATGCTTCTCTTTGTAAACTGTACTGTTGTACCCTTTGCTTATTTACCCATAGGTAGTTACTGTTTTCTTAAAATAGCAAACTGTGTGAAGAGTTCTGGGTCCCATAATTTGGCTAAATTATCATTTGAAAAATAGGCTTATATTTTATCACCGTAAGTGTCTATGTTTCTTTTCTGTTTTGTAGGCTATTCCAGGATTTTGTATCCAAGGCCCAGAAGTTTGTTATCCAAGATGATGAATGCTGACATGGATGGTATACTCTTCATTTTCTTTTCTTGTGGACGCTTTTGTTTTATTAACAATGCAAAGAGCAGCGAGAGAATCTCTGGAAGGTTTGGGTCTTGGTTCATTTACTTATGTCCTATCTAGTTTTAGAAAGGCAGTTTTCATTCCTTATCTTATTTTCCCCTTTGTGCCCATCGGCAATGTGGGGGTATAATTTTTTACTTCAGAGGGCTCTTGTATAAGTCGATTAAGATAACGAATATAAAATGTTGTGCACATTTTTACGTTCTGCAGTACACAAGTGGTGCCTAATGTTAATAGTAAATTTGAACCTTTTCATTACAGCAGTTGATGCTGAAAATCAGGTGGAACTGGAGGAAAAAACACGACTTATTAATCAAGTGTTGGAACTCCAACACACACTTGAAGGTTAGCTTGCATTTTGTAACTTGATGAATGACATTTAGTTAATTGAAGTTGTAAGCATTTATGTTGCCAGGTTTTTCAGTATGTATAAATGTCCATTTTTATAGGTTGTTTTTTTTTTTTTTCTTTTCCTCCTAGTTGTGGTTGGTGGTCTTAAAGAACAGATATGGTTCAATAAGAAAGTCCAAGATGATGCTGTTTAGTACGAGGGCTCTTTTCAAATCTTTGCAGTGTGTAACTGAGTCTGCTGAATTAAGCTTATATTAAAGTGAAAACAGCATATTAACCTCAGAGATTAAAAGGGAATTGATAAGAGTTTTTTTTATTTTCTAAATGTCTTAACATCAAGCTAGTACTACCACTGTGACATCTTTTCATATTTAATGAAATTAAAAGGTCATGTCTTTTGGGCACCAGAGTGAGCAGATTCCATCCCTGATAACCTTCCAGTGGCTTCCCATTTGATAGAGATGACAGCAGCCAGTGTGTGGCTCCCATGTTACCTTTCAGGGTCATGTCACACTGCCGCACATATTCCACCTCAGACTGTCTGCCTTCCCCATTCTTTTCCCCGTAGCAACCAAGCATGCCTCTACCTGGGACAGGTGGCTGCTTCCCTCTGCTTCGGACTTCTCTTAGCTGCACATCTAAATGGCTCATTCTCTCACTCCCTAAATGTCTCTGGTCAAATTCACTTTTTCAGAATCGAAAAGAGCAACTTCTCCTTCTTGTGACCTTTATCCTTCTTACTCTTCCCCTTACTGCTTTTTCTCCATCCAGCTCTCCACTGTGACAAACGATATATTTACTTAATATTTGCTCCTGATCCCCACATTGCTTTCCCTAATGAACGCATGCCCACATACACCTTTTTTTTCTCTACTGTTGCTTCTAGAACAGTGCCTGGCTCTTTGAGGGTATTAGTACGTGTTGGTTAAATGCAAGCCATTGAATCTAATGTGAAATCTTTTTAGGAATTAGTATACTAAATTGCACTTACTTACTTTGTTTACCTTAGCAGGGTCTAAAGTACTCTGAATTTAAAAATAGAAAATTTAGATTGTGATATTTTTATCTTTGCAACCCTAAGGGATTTAACCCAGGGGCGCCTTGTGTATGTTAGAGAAATGCTCTGTCACTGAGCTACATTCTCAGCTACATGCACTCTTTCATTTAAGAATGAATCTTAAAGGCCAGATATTTAGCTCAGTGGTGCTACTGCCTGCCTCGAAAGCGCAAGGTCCTGAGTTCGATCTCCGGTACCAAAAAAAAAAAAAAGAATGAATCTTAAATATTTTGTAATATAGAGTTATTGCCATCATTTTATTGATAATGGGCATTCTTTTTTTAAATATAGATCTCTCTGCAAGAGTAGATGCAGTTAAGGAAGAAAATCTGAAGTTAAAATCAGAAAACCAAGTTCTTGGACAATATATAGAAAACCTCATGTCTGCTTCTAGTGTTTTTCAAACAACTGACACAAAAAGCAAAAGAAAGTAAGGGATTGATTTCCCTTCTGTTTTATGGAATTGCTGCTGATTTTTTTCTTTAAAACTTGGATAGATTCCAAAAGTTACAGTACTTTGTGGCTTCTTGGAATATTTATGAAAATAATGTCAGACCTAGGCAAAATTAACTGCATAACAGAAGACTTCCATGGATTTATGTATTGTTAGTCTGAAAATGTGCAAATGTATTGTAGAGACTTTATAATTAGAATTGCATATATTTATGAAATTTGAAGATGTTTTATCAAATTTGCTTTGATATATAGGTTTAGCACTGTCTTTTATTATAGGCTTAGTAAGATATACCAGAAAATAACCACCATGTTGTGAAAAAGTGACCAAAATCATGTACTGAATGCACAGCTTTATGTACCGTGTCCACCATCTTGTGCCTCTTCTCCATTTGCCTCCTTCCTCCCCATTTCCCTTCCCCTAAGAAAAAAAATGGTTTCACGTTTGTAAAATTACTTTGAATAGTTAATCACCTGTAAGAGTAACCTGAGCTCTAATTCTTGCAACTTAACCAAAATAAGATACTTTCTCAGTTAGGGCTTGTCATTTGTTGTAGTAATAAGTTAGGATTGCTGGTTTCTCTTTAATCATTTAAAAACAGATTTAGGCTATAAAAATGAAGATTTCTCTTTAAAACTGAACTGTCATATTGGGAAGATTTGTTAAAAACTTCCTTTTGCACAAATGACCCAGTTGATATCTGAAAAGATAAGGATTCTGGTTGTGTGTGTTAAAAGTAAAAAATAAAAAATAAAAAAAAAATCTTGAGGGGAGAATAGAAACAGGGTAGAAAATAACTCAATAAAAAGTATTAACCAACTCCAAATGTTTTCACTCCACATTTGTATTTTCTCTGGCATAGAGGAGATCTTTTGAAGAATATGTTTTAAAGTGGATTAAGTTGACTGGCCTTATGTAAGCCCCGTGTTAGGCCAGTTATGTCTCAAGATTTATTTGTAGTTCCTAGCAAGGCAACTTTCGCAAAATTCCTTAAGAGAGTGTATTAGTGTCAGTCATGAATAAATGGGAGGATTTTACTCTGTGATAACTGTAACCTTATTCAGTATTGTATCTCGTTTGTTCTCCCAGAATTTTCTGTAAATTCAACTAGTTTGTGGAGTTTTGGTTATTCTTTAACAGTTTTTAAAAATTTAGTTTGTAGATTCCATTTAGTAAAGGAATTAATATCAAAAATATTAAAATGTTATAATAGGAAAAGAGATCTACTAATATAGCTTATGGTTACTAGATTTGAGCTACTTTTAATCAATGGAATAATCTTATCTATTAGTGTAAGATTTGATGAATGACTTTAGTTGTATGAATATGTAATAGTCATACTGCAAACATTTTGCATCCCTTTTGTGACCTAATTTACAAATATTTAAAATTGTGTTACAGTTCTGCTTTGCTGTTTAATAAAAAGCTGTTTCAGAGATTGTGTGTTTTGATACAGTTGCCTAAGTAAATGGGTTGATAGGGAGGGGTGGTGGTGTATTGGGGTTCAGTGCTACAGGACCGTGTATCTTATTTAAGTTCCTGGTTCTGAGCATTTAGGGAAATATTATTAATACAAATATTACAGGGTATCATACATAGGTTAAAACAAGCAAAGTGTTGGAAAAAAAAGGAAAGATCTCTAGGGGAAAGTAGGTTCTATTCTTTTAGGTTAGCTACTGTAACATGAGACCCAATGATACAGAATATAAAACACAAGAGCTTCTCCCTCGGCAGTGGTTCTCAGGTGAACATTACAGGCTAGTCAGTCTTTGTTGCACAGTTAGCCACAATTATTGAAGATAGCTCTGCCTTTTTCAACCGTGCTTTCTAAGTCACTCTAGTCACCACTATTCTAATTTGCACAAAAGAGCATGGAAGTGCACATATAGCCAAGTTTTTATGGGCTGGGCCTCGAAATGGCTCCTATGTCTCCTTGCATTCCAACTGTGGAGACTTGGTTACATCTAGAGGAGTGGCTGAGAAATACAGTCCCTTGCCTGCGAAGTCGTGTTCTAGCTACAACTTTACTCCTGGAAGCAGGTGAATGATTTTGTTGGCCACTAGTAGCCTTAGGCACAGCCTTCTTTTCTTGCTACTAAGTATTTATTCATAACCTTCCCTCGGGAAGTATTCAAACTCTCCTTATCTAGTTATCAATTTAGCTCAAAATCCAGGATCTCTATTAATGTCCATCAGTTAGTTTAGTTGTAAGCTTTTAATGGTTGTTTTTAATCTCTAAACTGGTAGGCAACTTACCAGTGGCTGTCCCTGATTTATAATGTAGTAGGGGACAATAGCCAAATACTCTCAATTTATAAAATGGGAATAAAGGGAAGTACTTGGATTCAAAGCGATTATGGAATGCTCCTTGGAGACCTTGTGGAGACTCTGTCCCTAGTATCTACCTTCCTGACTTCCCTTCTGAAAAGTGATTCCATTTTCATTTTCTCCCATGGCCACATCTGAAGTAGGGGTGGGGAAGTGTTCCTTCCATGAAGTGAAAACAGTTCATTTTTTGCTGGTATGAGCTTGGTGCCCATCATTTTAGAGCCAAGTTCCCATTTCTTTTGCAGTACAATTTCTTAAAACACTCATGCGTTTTTATCCATATGCTTCTAAGTTCTGTATGCCAGGAACCGCAACTAAGCCTTTTCTAGACCAGATTCTCAAAGTATGCTTTGTTTCCTCACAACCTTGCCTCGTTAATGGAGGAGCTCTTATGACCCGCTGAAAATATGACTGCAATGAGTGCTGCAACCAGATTACTGCTTCATGGTTGGGACCCTTTGTTGTGCTCAACAATTGGCAGAATGGTTTTTGTAGGCTCCCTCCCCCTCTGTGTCCCACACCTGAAAATCACACAATTTTGAAACTTTTCTGCTATTCAAGTTTGAGAAGCAATTGCTTTTCTAATTCTGTGAGGTTCCTGGTATCTGAACTTCATTCCCTTCCCTCTCTGCCTGAAAACTATGGAGCACTTTTTGTGAAACCTTGTTAAGAGCATCAAGGAACAGCTAATCCACTTAATGTTCTGGCTTTTTTCAACTGCTTCCCCTAGGTACTATCAGCCTAATAGGTGGCAAAATAGTCTGAAATAATATGCCCCACCTGCTTGTCATGTGACTAAGCAAATGCCATACATTTTTAGTTTTCATAACAATGCCTCCCTTCAGAATATCATTTTTATACTGGAAATACAGGTGGCAAGTGTGCATAGGGAATGTCTAGCTTCTGACAAAAATGCTCCTTGACTTTTATACAGGCTATTCAGCCCTTTCTTCAACCAGACATCATCTTTAGGTTGTCCTCACTCTGCATAGACCAGTTTTACCAAAAATCCTGCTAACCCAGTTTAGAGGATCTCCAATCCTCAACAGCTGTCACTGTTCAATCCTTTACCCACTATAGCTCATCAGCCTGCCCTACCTTCAGCAAGAATTTTTAGCAAGAATCTCCTTGCCTTGATGCTTTCTTTTAGGAATGTGCCACTCATTGACAACCTGACTGCTCATTGAGTATGCTGTAGTCATAACTGCCTAATTTTTCCCCAATAATGACAGTCTTGACATTTATCACAGTACTGAAGAAAGTTGTGTCAAAATGATTTTTAATCAGTGTCAGAATATTTTTTAATACTATCTAAGCATGCTGGTGGAAGGATTGCAAGGAAAACCATACTAGTTATGCACCAAAAAACTCCTACATTGAAATTCTAACATGTAATAATGAGGCCCCCTTGGGGAGATAATTAGATCATGAGGGTGGAGCCCTCAAGAACATGTCCTAATAAAAAATATAACAGAAGACAGTAGTCTTTATCCAGGAAGAGAGCTTCACCAGAACTCAACCTGATGTTGCTTCTAGCCTCCAGAACTATAAGAAACTCCTGTTGTTTCCAAGCCACCATTTTATCGTATTTTGTTATAGCAGCTTGTACAGATTACAGGCACACCTTTTTCCCAGGTAGGACTTCCCTCAGTACTGACACATTTCATCCAAAATTTGCCCTTTATATTCCCTTTGGTCGTTACTTAACAGAGAGTTACTACAGATCACAGTCCCTTAACTGGAACTTGATTCAGAATTTGATGTTTTTCAGTTTTTATGCAGTATGATAACTCATACACCAGCATGGTTTGGAGCTGCAGCTATAATCAAATAACATTTCTGCAGCAAAATCTATGAGTATTAAGTGGGACGAAGAAAGACTATACAGCATACATAAAAGACCATGAGGGAGGTCAGATTTGGGTACCAAACTGATGAAAAAAGTTTCATTCTGCTCAGCCATAAAGATAAATTTGAGTCATTTGTAAGAAAACAGAAGGATTTGAAACCATAGCACTAAGTGAAGTAAGTCAGACACAAAAGATTAAATATTGCATGATTTCTCTAGTTTGGCCCACAAAATAAAGAGCAGAATAAAAGAGACATGTTAAGAAAAAAGGAGGGAGACTCTGAAGAGATGGGAAGAGGTCTGGGGAAGGAGGTGGGACAGGTGGAGTAACAATGATCAAGGAAGGATATACACATGTAAATACACCCCCAAGGTGAATGTAACCACTACATATTGCAAACACGTACTAATGAATTTTTTTTAAAAGAAAAATTTCATTTTGCAGAGATTTTTGGATTTTGGAATTGTAGCAACAAAGCTTTTTATAGAAAAGCAACCAGTCATTTAAGCATTTTCCCACCAGTTAGTAAAGTTGCGTCTTTATTCTTGTCCCAAATTCTCTCCTCTTATAAAAGTGAGAGTTGAATTATAGAACTGAAAATTAATTTTAAGGGTTAAAGCAAAAAAAAAAAAAAAGGATCAATTTCTTAAGAGTGTAAAACTTTTTTTATTTTGCATGATAATTTTGTTTTTTCCTACCTTACTGGTAGTTGTCATCAGATACTTTTTCAGTGCTAACACAACCAAAATTATTACCAGTGAACACCAGAAATTAAGACCACTTGTAAACCATTAAAGAACAGAGACTGATTAAGAATTGGAAGCAAGAATGACTTAATTGCCTCTTAACTACTTCATGGAGAAAACCAGCTAAGAATGGTTTATTTCAATAAAATCAAGGATTAATATTATTGAAAAGACAAGGACATGCATAACAAGAACTTTATGTTGGCCCCAGGACATAATTGACCTTATAGTAAAGGGCAGTGTTGAGTGATGACAGAAACTGAAGTAATACATTATGGTCAATTCTATCATGCATTTATCTTTAAATTTCATACTTTATGTATAAATGGCTTAGCAAATGCATTATTAAAACTTTAACTCCAAATTTCACAGAGAGTATTTCCACCATTTAACATGTGCAAAATATGTTTTAAGATGCTGTGTTACATAATTTTTCCAGTTTTCCTGGGGCCATCATCAAAACTACTTACTCTGTGCACTGGGCTCTCCAGAGACAAACTCCAAAGATGTTTCCAAGTGCATATTCTCTCATCAACTGCCTCATCTGATCTGTCAGAGTGAGGATGACTTTATTTCCTAAACACTCACAGCTGCCATAGTATGGAAATGTGTAAGAGCAATGTACTGTGGGAAAAATTATTGAAATTTATGGGTTAATGCCATTATGTTTTAATAAGTCACCCATGGAAAAGATTTAAGTACCTTTCTTAGCCACCTGATATTTTATATATAAATCCTGCTATTGTTAAAACATACAGTCCAAACTGGAGAACCAAAAACTGTTCATAAGTGCCTTAGAGATTAATGTTTTGATTACTTGGAATAGTTTTTACTGATAACAAAACTATTTCTGGACTAGAACTCTAGGTTTTGATGGTACATTAAATTCACTGCTAGTGGTCCTCTGTAACACATAAGCAGTTCCATCCATCCTGTGTCTCCTCTACATGGGGACTGACACTTTAAAAAAACTACCAACATGATGTCTTCCTAGAGAAATGGTCAATGAGCACAGGGCTAGCCGAGAAACACTTTCAAGAAAACAAAAGTTACTTTAGCCTGTGAAGTTAAAAAAGCATGTAAAACTAGGAGAACTAAAAGCAAAATAGCAGAGAAGAAGATAAAATTTGTCATTTTAAATAATAAAGTTAGATTAGGATAAACGCAAAAAGGGATTTCATTATTAAGATTCTGTTTTGTCTACTGTATAGATCTCTTATACTACTCATAAGCATTTTAGTTTTGGTTAAACCTATCAGCCACGGTACATCTACTGAGAGGAATATGCGTGGGAATTAGCAGTAACTTGGCAAAAATGAATGCTCAGATTTTACCACTGCAAGCTCCTGGAGTTTTTAACCAAATGTTCAAATTTTAGTTAAAATTTAGCCAAAAGTTAAAAGTGATTCTGCAACTAAGAAAGTAAAAACAGGTTTAATCAATATTTAGAAAAAATATTCACATTTATGACACCTGTTTGGCAAGGTTTTTGTAGTTAAGGATTTATCTCCAGAAGGAACTGTGTACTTTGAAAAATATTTAGAATTATTCAGCATGTCTAGATTAAAGCTAGAGTGGGAGTCCCTGGAAGACCAGTTCAGTTCAGTTCAGTTCGCATTAAATAAATACAAATTATGGTTAACTGTGCCTTAGGATTTCTACCAACTCATGAAGGTTAGAATGTGGCAGTGGAGAAAAGCACTTACTTGTATTTTCAGTTCTCTCTGAAACAGGAAGTGAATGGGCTTCCTGGCTGTGCTTGGCTTCTTTAGTAAAAGGGGAAGCTGGAGCCTCGAGGTCTAACATGTACCCATGGAGGGAGATGTAAGAGAACCGGGATGGGGCTGGTCCAGAGATGGCTGCAGGTCCAGCAAGGGATCCAAACTTTCATTCAACTCTAGTGTAATGTAGTTTTTTTCTAGATATTTAGTAATAAAATGGTTCTGTGATTTCAAAGATTTAAATCCCCTATACCTGTTACTTGAACATAAAAATATTCAATAAAAGATTTTAAGTGGAACATCACAGCTTCACTATAAGGTAGTTCGGGGACTTTTGGTAACTTCTCTAACAAGAGGAGCAATAAGAGTAGCTACTCCCATCCACCTCACAGACAACTTTGAATTTGTCCAGGAAAAAAGCAAGATAAAAATACAAAGCACTGATATTAGCCAGTGGAATCTCATGGTAATAAATAAAGGAAAATAAAGACTCTCCAATAATAATCTACATGTTAAATAGGGTATAAAGTGTAAAAATAGGTAATTTTTATTTTCAAGAGCCATGAATGCACAAGCAATTTTGTGAATGGGGTAAATTCCTCTGGCATGAAACAATTAAAAAAGCTCAGAGAAAATCTGTATACCATAAACCTATTATTGTTGTATTCCAATGTAAAATACTGTGTAAGTTCTGTGACAGACATTTTACTAGTGTTTTGTCACCAAATCGCCTCTTTAAAAGAATCTATGATTTACACAAACAACTGACTGTAACTATAATTCAACACAAACTGGGTCACATACAACACTTTCAACTGCTGATATAATTAAACAACCACAAGAAAGTTTATTGCATTTATCTCTGTGCAACAGAACACACTCTCATTTTTATTATAAAACCATCACTTAATCTTGTTATAGCCATTTAAGTGAAAATTCCAATAACTGACTTTTCCAACAGCAGTAAGGTTGCTACATACCATCTTGCTTGGTACAAACCTAAAATGTCTTCAAGTTATTAAAATTGTAACATCTAATAATATCAATCTCATAAATCTGATATATAACTTGCCACTTTTTTAAAAATTCCAAATTCAAAGAAGATGTAGCTTCAAAGTTACTTTCTTTTTCCCCTGAAAAGAAAGAATAAATATCTGAAAGAATAACATTGCTAGATATTTATAAACAGAATGTGCAGATTGATTCCGGGTCAGTTCTGGCACAGGGACTTTAGAATTCTCTCCCAGGAAATGAAATACTTGAATAGAGTTTATTCCTTTCGTATTCTCCTTTTGCGTAGTGACTTTATTGGTCCATCTCTAGATACTGTGCTTTCATCTGCATCTTTCATCTAGAAAAAAGAATTACAGAAATGATAGTACATAATAGATTATTCTCTAAGATACATGTTTTGATGATCAAATGCTATCTTATGCATGTCCCTTCATGCAGCTGGCCAAGAATATATAAATTGATGTGTTTTCACTTGTTCATAATTGGCATGATTATATTTTTAGACTAACCATCCTTATCAAATAACCATTGACAAAGAACATGCTAACAACTCCATTCACCATTTTATTTACGACTTAGAACTTGGTTTCATCGTCATACTTCATGGTTATGTAACATATTCATTGTGGGATAATAAACACTGACTGTTCATCACAATATTTCTGTAATGTATTGGTGAGTCGGTTTTATAGACTTTCAGAACTTCTGGTACACAATACCTTCAAAGCAATTAGAAGAGATGAACAGAAAAGGAAATATCAAATTTATATTTTGAGATTTTTCTTTCCTTTAATTCTTGTCCTTCCAGCATGTGTTTGTACATGAATTAAAGTTTTGGAAGAAAATAATGATGATGTTATATGATATTATATAGTTATTATTACTTGTAAAGGTTATACTACACAAAAATTGACTTGCTAACTGACAAATATATGTAAGAAGACTAAAAGCCTGGAAGATGGAATTAAGATATTTTTAGAAATATACAAAATATTTTGTGAAACAAATATAATCAGATGTATTTGAGTAAAGGACTATAAGTATCATATATTAAGAACATCCCAGCTGAAACAATGATTGTTTTAAAAACTGCTCTGGAAGACATGATTTTTACCAGCTCCCCATAAATATGGATATTCATCCTAGAAAATATTTCCCACAGGCCGGGGATTTAGCTCAGTGGTTCTGGCTCCTGCCTCACAAGGGCAAGGTCCTGAGTTCGATCCCCAGTACCAAAAAAACAAAACAAAACAAAAGAAAATATTTCCCAACGTCCGTTTAAAAACTTACGGGGGTAAGACCAGTAACAAGGTATGTATACTGAAAAACTTTTAGCGAACATTCAAACAGATCTCTTCAAATAGGTATAAAGTATATTTCATCCCAGGAGACAGCCCAGCAAGGTGGGCTGCATTTTCACCCCACCTTCATTAGCAGGCAGCAGGGTGGGCTGCAGACCACGGGGTAAGAGCAGCTCTTAAAGGGCCTAGAGAAGTAGAGAACACAGGCTTTTGATTGATGTTAGGTAAAAACAGCCCTGGTTTTCAATTAATTACACACTAGATAATTTCTGATTCTAGGAGATCTGGCTGAAGAAAAAGGGTCATGGTAGGAAGTACCACTGTATATCAGAATACAAAAAGAGGGGCCGGGGATTTAGGTCAGTGGTTCTGCCGCCTGCCTCGCAAGCGGAAGGTCCCAAGTTCAATCCCCAGCACAAAGAAAAAAAAGAATACAAAAAGAGGCAGACATATGAAGTTAATAGAAAAAAGCCCTCACTCATTAGAGATCTGAGAGAAAAAAACCCCACATTATCAGGAAGACAGTACTCCATTATTCATGCATGAAATATTTCAGAACTTAGCAGCAAAGTACTGAGACAATTAGAATGTTTTCACAAAAGCTATACAAAAACTATCTTGTCGAAGATGTTTTAAATGTTGAAATGATCTCTTTATTATACTTTCTAGTACATGTCAATTTTTTAAAGACAGTTCTATCTTTACATTTTGTAAATGATAGGCTTAATCTATTGTCTTTTTAGGCACTAAGATATATGTCAGTCTTTTTGCCTTCTTTATGGATATGTTTGAAAAACAATATTGAGGCTTTTATGTTTTTTTATTTTTTTGGTACCACAGATCGAACTCAGGTCCTTGCGCTTGCGAAGCAGGCGACGAAACCACTGAGCTAAATCCCCGGCCTATTGAGGCTTTTATGAAAGCTGGGAGAAGTATAGCAAACATTCCTTCACAAGATTATTGTTTTCATTGAAATAATGTTTTATGGATAACAGTTACTCATAGAAACCTGGTTACCTCATCCTCTGATCCAGACTTATTTGATTTATTCCCCTCATCGTGTCCTTCTATGACTTCAACTTCTTCACTCTTTTGGTCAGGTTCACATTCCTCTTCTAGAATACAGTTTATTAAAGACAAAACTCAGTGAATGAGAATTTTGCTACTGACAAAATACAATCGAGGGGATTTATTTGAATTTGAAAATTTAAAATCAATTTTTGCCTTTCAAAATTTTTAGAATTGTAAAAACTGATTATTTTATTTTATAAATAAACCATCCTACTTGAGGCAAAGGACAAGTTTAGAGTCCTGTATGCAATATGGAGCCAAAGAATTATCATTTTTCTTGTGTTCATCTCTTAGGAGTCCCTTAATTTTTGGTGATCTTTGTATCCTTCAACATGCTGTTTATAACTTTGCAGACACTATTATTAATTTTTTTTTATCGACTCTGTTATGGAATCCATTTAACCAAACCTCCAACTCTGTCACCACCATTGTATCAAAACATTAAGTGTTCCTTCAGAATTATATTAAAAACTCCTAGGAACAATATATAGTAAAAACTATATAAAAAGTAAAAGCAAATTGAGTTTGGGGAAAGGGAAGTCGACAGTCACCTCCGTAACCCACACTGTGCATACGGAAGTACATGGGGGTGGCTATGTGGACGTACTTTACAAAATAAGGGCCTTCTTCTACTTAAATATTCCAATAAGAGCAATACATAAACACCTAAGGTGATCAAAACACCAATGTACTTATAAAAATTCTAAGAACTTACAAGTTTGTTTTAGATCCAGACACAGACACACAAACACACAGACACACACGTCTTATGGTAAGCAAGTGCAACAGCTAATTATTTCAAGTGTATGTGTGTGCATCGGTATGTATTTGTAAATATGTATGTGTATATATTTTTTAAAAAGAGCCTAGATTTTAAGTTCACTGTTTCATCAACTACAAAGTTGAAAACAATACTTCAAGACATCAGTTGTTAAAGTCATCTGTTGCTTAATCTGGAATTTGGTTTGGGACACTTGGTACATTAATATTATTATTTCTACCTAGATGTGAATAAGGAGTTCTCAAATAAGAGCCACTGAACTACTTCAGCCCCTAAATTGCAACAGCTTTAGAAGCTCTGTGCAGAGTGGGAAGGGGATATAGGACTTAGCAATACCTTCACGAAACTATTCTATATGATAAACTATCTGATAAACAATAGCCATTGGAAGAGCTATTAATGGTTTTATTGCTGTAATCACTTGCCTTATACCTCTTCTTCTACAAAGGTCGAAATATATACCTTGCATTTCATCTTTATTCTTTTTTTTCCCCCTCCACCCCTCCCTATTTACAAAGACTTTGTTTCTGTTTTTTCCTTTTCTCATATTTATTCCTTTCCCTTCTTTCCTTTCCCCTACCCCTTCCACTTCCCCTTTGGACCTTTTCTTCCTATTTCACGTTATCTAGTATACATTTTGATCCTTATTTACACTTTCAGTTTCTCACACTGGAGAAACTATTCAGTATTTACACGTGTGTCCTATTTATTTTACTGAAGAGTATGGCCTCAATGCGCATCCATTTAGCTATAAATGTCTCTAGTTTCTCATTCTTTATGTAGTACTCCATTTTATTAAAAAAAAAACAACACACACACATCTTCTTTATCCAGTCTCCAGTTGATGGGCAACTTGAGCTCTTTCCAAGTTTTAGCTATTATAAGCTGTGCCACTATAAAATGGGTACACATATATCGCTGTGGTATGATTCTTTTGTTTTGGGAAGATACTCAGCAGGGGAATAGCTGGGTCAGATTCTTAAGTGTCAAGAAATGTCCCTGGCACAAAGCTATGGTGTATGATTCATAACGGCTAGGCTCCAAAGCAACTGAACACTATTTTAATCTCTTTCACCCAGAATGAATGATTGTAAACAGAGTGGCGAGGACTTTCACTCCTCACTGCCATAGTCATGTATTCTTGGGAATATAAATATTTATGTAAATATATACAATATTTATAAATATATATATGATAATAGAGAAGTGCAACAGCTGGTTATTTCAAGCTGGTTGTTTCCACTGTTTTCACGAGCATCATCCAGGCTCATGGGTCATAAATAAATCATAAATCATAATCACATTACCTTTTTCAAGAATTTCACCATCACTTTGTTTGTTTTCCTCCTGCAAGTCCACTGGCTTCTCCAGGGCTGCTTTTTCTTCCTTCACTTCTTGCTCTAGTGCTCCCTTAGTTTGTGGTTTATATATGGCCTCTTTTTTATACTCTGTATCTTCATATTTTTTCTGCAGTAGTTTAACATAAGCTATTTTTACTAAAACCAAAACTTTAAAAAAGTTTTTTGTAATAACAGATAACATATAAACTATCAATGAAAATTATAGGAAATTTATCATTTTAAAGAATAACTTGGTGAATCATAGAACTCCTTGACACTAACAAATTTGCAAAAGAAAGCTGAAGAAAATTCATTTTACCTTTGCTTTTCTTGGCCAACAAAATGAAGTAAGTAATATTACTGGAATTATTGCTATTACCAGGAAAATGACCCAAAGCCACAAGTGCTCTTCAGCAGCTGCCATTAACTGCTTAACTACACCAGGCTATAGGAAAAATAAGCATAAATATGCAATTTATATTTAACAGCTCTCCGTTTGGAAACACATCCTACCAAAAGTAGTATCTTACCTAGACATTTTATATTAGAGCTGACAGAACTGTAATCAAAGAAATCTTTTATTTTCCCACCTTATACTTTGTAAAGGAGAATTTAATTATCAGCATGCCTCATTCAGTGAGACTTTGGCAGTAGGAGGTATGTCACTATGTATGGGGAAATACCTAGCTTAACAGCTAGAATGATACTTTTTTTGTTAACTCCCAGAATATAACTACTTTTTACAGATATGTCATCTGGTTCACTGAGAAGGACACAACTCTCTGATAATTCATTCTGTACTTTTAAAGAAGTTATTAATAAAAGCACACCTAAGAATTATTATGCTTTTTCTTTTTTATATATATGGATTTCACATATGAACTTCAGTAGGGAAATTGTTTTTCTTATTAAAATAAACTATACAGCCACCAAAAAATTCATTTTAACTACTCTTTGATGGTTGTTCCTAATGTCCAAACAAACCAAATATAAGGAATGAATTTTTCTTCACACTTAACTGATTTTAAAGATACCTTGTGTTGAAATATTGAGCTTAGTCTTTTCTAAACCATCTTAAGATTTGGGCAAAAAACTGGAACACAATTTAATAATGTTAATTCTCTGTATTTCCCTAAATGAAAAGTACTTAAAATGAGTATAGATTATTGCTAATACTTAGGCTTTGAATTGGTAAGATGACAAAGATACTAAGAAGTCTTATTTCTGTGACAACATAAAGCCTTTAAATCCCATTAAAGCCATAATTTAATGAGTAATATTAGTAGACATATGCATGTATCTGAATATAATGTCTGTCATTATATAATCTGAATTAAGTATAATATACAAAAGCTAAATATTCTAATAAACTTATTCAACTATATTTGCCATTTAGTAATCATTGCACATTTCCCATTAACAGGGCAATTTGTATAACCTATAACCGATTACAGAACCAAGTACTAACATTACTATACACAGTTACATGACTACCACTAAGGTCACTACCATACCTCATTAGCATTTGCAACCAGTACTTTTAATTTCCAGCTATCTTCAGCCCAGTGATCTGCTACTTCTTTTTCTGAACAGATAATAAAATTATCAAAGTAGATCTCAGAGGACATAGACCAAAGCTCTAAACCAAGAGCACTGAAAGAAGTCAGAAGAAATGGATGGTCATCTTCAAAATAATCTGGATTAGGAATTTTTTGAGGACTCCAGATTCCCTGAAAGAAACAATAATTGAAGACCTTTTCAAATAAAACAGTTTCATTGCAAATGCTGATCAAAAAGTAGCTGCTGTTGAATCACTGAAAAGTTTACAGCTTTATACCCTTGAGGGATTTTTTTGGTTTGGTTTTGTTTTGTTTTGTACCTGGGATCAAACTCCAGTCCTTGCGTGCGCAGCAGGCGGCAAAACCACTGAGCTAAATCCCCGGCCCTATCCTTGAGCTTTTGATGAGTGAAGTCTGGCGTATTCTTAAAAGGCTTCCTAATGTCCTGGTGCAAAGTACTTGGCTTTTTTTTCTTTTAATTTATTTATTTTTGGGGTACACTGTAGATATAATGATAACATTCATCATAGGGAATTTGTACCTGCACGTGATACATCTTGCTTCTTTTTTCCCATTCCCCTCTGCTCTCTTCAACCCCTCTTCCCCTCATTTACAAAAGCATTGTTTCCAGCTTTTCTGTTCTTTTTTCTTGCCCCTCCCCTCTTTCCCCTCCTCCTTCCCTTTTTCCCCTTCTTTTTTGAACATTTTTAGCATTAAAGAGTTTGAGAAGTAGCGGCATTAAGTCTTCTTTAAATTTCTTGTAGAATTCAGCAATGAATCCATCAGGGCCTAGGCTTTTCTTTGTTGGTAGATTTTTAATTACATCTTCAATTTCACTGACTGATAATTTAGAATTTTTCTATCTTCTTGATTCAGCTTTGGCAATTCATATGTATCTAGGAATCTGTCCATTTTTTGTGTTGTTCATCTTATTAGAATGCAGGTTTTTGCTTTTTTTTTTTTAGAATACAGGTTATTCCCCAGTACCAAAAAAAAAAAAAAAAAGAATACAATATTGAAGTAGGTATTGGTGATCTCGATTTCTGCAAGATTTGTTGTGACTTCACCCTTTTCATTCCTAATTGCGTGAATTTGAGTCTTTCCTTTTTTCGATAAGGTTGGCTAAGGATTTGTCAATTTTATTTAATCTTTCAAAGAACCAACTCTTCGATTCATTAATTCTTTATATTGTTTTCTTGGTGTCAACTGCATTAATTTCTGCTGTGATCTTTATAATTTCCTTCCCCAAATTATGAGTTTTGGGCTTGACTTGCTCTTTTTTTTGTTGTTGTTACCGGGGATCAAACTCGGGTCCTTGTGCTTGCGCAGCAGGCGGCAAAACCACCGAGCTAAATCCCCGGCCCCAACTTGCTCTTTTTCTAGAAGCTTGAGGTTCAACATTAGGTTATTTATTTGAGCATGCTTTGTTTTTCTGATATGGGAATTCACCACTATAAATTTCCCTCACAGGACTGCTTTCATTATGTCCCACAAATTCCGGTATGTTGTATTGGCATTATCATTTAATTATGGAAACTTTAATTTCTTCTTTAGTTTCATCTGGTTTTTTTTTTTGGTACCGGGGATCAAACTCGGGTTCTTGTGCTTGCGCAGCAGGCGGCGAAACCACTGAGTCATCTGTTTTGTTTTGGGGGGTTTTTTTGGTACCGGGGATTGAACTCGGGTCCTTGTGCTTGTGAGGCAGGCAGCGGAACCACTGAGCATTAAATCCCCAGCCCAGTTTCATCTGTGACTCATTGTGTCAGGAGCCATTCTACATTTTTTGGGAAAAAATCATTTCACAATTAAATTATGATTAGGGGTGTCTGAGCCTCAATAGTCCCATGAAGCTGTGATGCTCAAGGGTAGGATTACATCAGCTGAAGGACATCCTGGTTCTTTGAGAACCAAGTAGTAATACAAAAGAGAAAGGTCTCACCTGGAGAGGGACAAATTCCTTATCAGCTTAACTCACCCCACCTACTGTTGTAAGACTGTTTTGCTCATCTCATCATCCTAATCAACATATGCACCTCATCTATAGGGAACAGGGAAAGGGGACGTTACTAGAACCTCTGCAGTAAGCTCTAGTCGCCTGCGGCAGCACAAGGCGAATTACAGGAAAGGTAGAAAAATTAGACTGAGAAAAAGCTGAGCTTTGGGTCTGATCAGTGCTGCTCTGGGCGTAAAGGACGAAAGCCCCTAGTTTACCGCACGTTTTAGTCAGTACATCGGGAGAAACAAATGTAACAAATGACTTGTAGAGAGTTCAGTACATCCTGGGTAAACAAGATTAACAGTCCAAGAACAATGAGGAACTGAGTAGATGTTTGTTCCTCCCAGGATGTTTTCAGCGCCCAGGATGTTTCTTGTCCTGGAGAATCACAGCATCATCGGATCATTGAGGTCTCAGTAGTGACCGGAGGCCAAAATGGAGTTATTCCGTAGCTGGGCTGTAGGCAAGAGAACTAGGCTAACCAAATGATTTTACCTTAAAATTATGTAGCATTGCTCCCGACACTCTTCTACCTAAGATCCTCATCTTCATGGGATTACTACCCTCCAGAGTCACCTGATACTTCCTCCGATTATAAGATCCTCATCAATTTAGAATTATCGCCACCCTCTGAGATATCTGATACTCCCTGTGAACCCAATAAATAGTGGCAGCTCGGAGCGTCTTTGTCTTTGCCCGCTCGGAGACACTGACCTCCCGGCCCCCATATACTCTGAAATTAAAAAAAAAAAAAAAAAAGTAGCTGCTGTTGAAGAAATTAGCAATGAGAAGCAGATAACAAATCTGTAAATGATATCAATTCATTAATGTATTGGGAAAAGTCTTGTTTATTCTTAATTCTGTTCGTGTATTCTTTATGAGTAATACTGACTTTTAACTGCAAAAAAGCAAAGTGAAAATATAACCCACAGAAACTTGAGTAAATTTCACAAGTGACTATTTTAGGCAATTTTTTAGACTTAATAAGGTCATCCAGATCAAGATGTTGTTAAAGTTGCCCAAATTAGAAAGATTATATAGCAAAAATGGAACCTCTTAATATATGTATGACAGGCATCATTAATCAATCAGAACAATTAATCAGACCAGTTATTCAATATGAAAGTCCCATTAGATCTTTAAATGGCTACCCTGTCCATCAAGTGGAATAAATGCAACAGCATGCTCACTCACTGACTCACTCCACCATCACACATATCTATTCTGTGCCAGGCACTGTGCCAAATACCAGGGATACAAAATGATCAAGACACACTGTTCCTGTAATACGGGGTTTAAAATGTAATGAGAAAGACATACATTAAGCAAAACCATTACCAAAAGAAACATTTTATGGTAAACACTTTGAAGGAAAACTACAGTGAATAATTATAATATGTAACTTCATGTGTATATGTTAGAAAATGTCAATAATTACAACAGTAAAACTAGAGAGTTAAATGAACATAGGAACTTTTAATATAAAATGTAGGTATACTCAAAATATGTCTGATTCATATTTTAAACATTCTGAATTTTAATAATGCTACAATATAAGGAGCATATTAAGCAAAGCACTAATTCTTAAAATGTACAATCTGGGTTCTCAATCAAAATTTATTTCTTGTATTTATCTCCAAAAAAATAACTTTATAGAACACATTTCAATAACATGGTACCTTTAATCACCAAATTATTTCTAAACTTCTAAAAACACAGATTTATATTGACAGTTCCCAGGAGACAAATCAATGATTAGATTATATTTGATATTGTCTCTAGAGAAGAGATGGAAAAAGTGGTTTTGGGAGAAGAAAAGAAAAGAGAATTAAGGAGAATTGACCTTCTGGTCAGGTTGAATAAGTGACCAGAGGAATAAAAGCAAAAAAAAAAAAAAAAATACACATGACTTCTAGGGTACAGTAAAGGATTTTTCAAAGTGTATACAATATATTAGTCTCCAGGATATTAATAAGTCCAGTTTAATGTGATTGTTAAAACTTTGGTGTAGAAATTAAGTTTGAGAATATTCCAAATACTATATATAATGCCAGTGTTTTTGAAGTATTGTATGTCATACTGTAATGTTATGGCTATCAGCTCTAGGCTGTGCACCAAGAGCATTTTATCCTCTTTGAACAGCTGTAGTCCTGCACATATTTCAGATTTTGCATTAATACCAGCAACTAGCCAGGCAATGTAGGACTGGGTATGTGTGGTAGTACATCTGCGTCAATGTCTTTCCTGTTTATTTTATGGAGTGCCAAAGCAGTTATTCTGCACTTCCCTTGGGCACCAGACCAGCACTGAGACTTTCACCAAAGTCATAGACATTCTCACCTGAAAATGCAGAAACACATACATTGAACATACTCAAAAGTACAAGTCCCTTCAAGTTCAGTTAAGAGCGCTGAACAAATACCTAAAGTTCTTTCTCTGAAAGCCTTACAGCCAGCCATCATCTGGACCAGTGATGGCGAACCTTTTAGAGCTTTCAATGATAACAAAGAGCCTGCTGTGCTATGTGTGACATAGGTTCACCACCACTGATCTGGACCTATAATCTCCAAAGTGCTGATATGAGAGACAACTATTTCAGTGTTTGTAAGGTACCATCATCCATGAACACAGTTTGCAGGTTCAATTAAAATAGAATTATATATATATATGCTAAGTAAAATGTACTGGCACTCATCATCTATACTGCAGTGTATGTTTTACATTCAATTGTCAGATTTTATCACTTTTTCCATAGTTCAGAGTCTCACATTATTTTTCCAAATAATTGAAATATACATTTTAAAAATACCAAGTTCACTCCTTAATGACTAAATAACTTTTATCCGCAAAACCACTGACCCACTAATTTATTAAGACAATGAACTTATTTCCATACTAGCATGTAGCTTAGTGCTAAAGCAAAACAGTCACCAATTTTTGTGGAAACAGGCTGAGCTGTGGAGTCCTCAGTGTATTCATTACTGAGCTGTACTTACTGGGTGGCTGGCTTGAAATCAGTTTGGAGAATTTTTCTTTAGTGGTACTTCAACTATCATGTGAAGTAAAGGAATGTGAACATTTATTATAATAGGCTCCTTAAAGTTGATACATCACCTTCCTCTAAAACCAATTTTATTTCACATGAGCATCATTAGAAAATAACATGGTATAAAATGATTTATTTTCAGCTCTTAACTTTATTATCCTAGAATATTATATAAACAATGCTTCACTTTTTAAATATAAATTAGTTGAGGTCTATTTTCTTTGACTTCATAGAATTTCGAATCAAACATCTAAAGTAAAATATAATATTACCTGATAATTAGATACATAAGACAAATAGCAGAGAATTTTTTAACTTTAATAAGGACTTGGATCAACTGGTTATTACCTGGTAGTTAGGATTACTGATCATTGGTGGTTTCCATACTCCTTTGTATTTTGGGTTATCTATCAGAGGAGGTTTCCACTCACCACATCCAACCTGACATGCTGGATTAGGGACATGAAGTGCCTCCCATTCTCCATCCATATCTTCATTCCTTAAGATACCACAATAAAGCAAATACAATAACTGTAAGTCTCTCCTGTTGGCCATATAAGCTAGTCACAAAATGCAAGTAAGGAATATTGACAACTGAAGATGAAGAATGCTTACCAGTCATCAGATTTTTCAGCATTAGGATTAGGGATAAATTTTGGTTCATTATCAAGCCAACCATCGGGTTTAACAACACTTGAGTCTTCTATTTGGGCAGGTTCATCTTCATCCCTATAAATATATTTTATGTTACTTAACAATTATTCAAGCTGAGTATGGTGGTGCATGCTTTTAATCTCAGAACTCTGGGAAGCTGAGACAGGAGATCATCACAAATTTGATTCTAGCCTTGTCAATGCATGGGGACTCAGTCTTAAACAAAGGGGAGAAGAGCTGGGGTGTAGTTCAGTGCAAAGGCCCTGGGTTCAATCTCCAACACCACAAAAAAAAAATTGTTCAAAAAGTTCTAAAATGCTTGTTCTACAAAATTTGGAAGAGACAATAACAGTATGCTTACTACCTTTCTGTATTTGTGCCTAACCTTTCCCTGCATCTATTCCACCTAAGGCTTCTGTTAAACTGTCATTTTTTTGTACTCTCCCTGTGGAGTTCCACACATTCACGCACCCATGTGTATATTTACACAAATGACAGCATTCTATACATGGTACATTAGACCTTGCTTTTGTCACTTATAAACTCAGTCATTCAACATCTGCTCCATTCTGAACAATTGTATCATTTTATATTTTGTGAATATACCATAATTTATTTAGGGATCTCCTTTAAGAAGACAGTGTTTCCAAAGTTTTACTATTATAAACAATGTAAAGTGAGCATCTTAGAATATGTGCCATTTCTTACCTATAAGCATATGTGCATTTTAAATTTTCATGTTCTCCAAATTACTCTCTAAAAGGCTATATATATGTCATTTCTAGCCCTAGTACCATTTATTTTTATCTATCATTGCCAAGACTGTTACCAAACTTTGACTTTTGCCAATCTGATAGGTGAAAAATGGTATCTCACTCTTGTGAGATTTTAGTGTATATTTAATAGTAAAGTGATCTGTAAAAACCATTCTGTATTTTCTTTAGATAGTTCATTAGCTTTATATGAAGAATTTAGCCCTCTGTCAGCTATAGAAATTTAAAATACAATTTTCCCAGTTTCTCATATATTTTTTGATACAGTTTTTTGCCATACACACACCATTCGTTTTCAAATAGTTTTATTATTAATATTTTTCACGGTTCTTGGATTTTATGCCATATTTGAAAAGATATTGCCTACTCTAGTATTTTTAAAATTTTTATATTTAATTCTAACTTGTCAAGTAAATGCTAAAGTATATGAACATAATTACAGTGAGTACTGGACAGAACTAATACAGTTTCTTTAGAGAAAAGCAACAAATTTAAAGTAAGAGGCTTCTTTGTAGCTTTCCAAAGAAAACTTGAGTTCTAAAATTAAAAGAGCCAACTGTACAAATGTACAGACTTGAAATGTACAGACATATCAATGCTAGGCTGAACCTCTTGAGTGCTCAGAGTAATCAAAAGTTAAAATTTAAGAAGCCTTTCTTTTAGCAATTTATAAAACAAATCTAATAGATTTCGCCAATCAGAAGAGGCTGTAACCTGCAATTCCTTGCATTTAAGGGCAAACTTACTCTTTATAAACAAGTATAAAGTGCTATTAATTCACATGGGATGCAGTTCAGCCTTTCCTGATAGTATAGATGCAGGAAGATGATGCAATGACATGACTTTTTAATTAATCTCTTTTAAAATCAGACTGCTCTTCCTACCTTGTACAAGGTACTTCCCTATTACACTCTTTGCCTGAAAGAGCATTTTTACTATCATCAGTACCTCTAATCCATTAGATAGGTGACAGCTTAACATCTTTGGTTTTATTCCAGAACAACACACTTTGTCCTGGACAGTAGTACATAACTCCAATGTTTACAAACAAATAAGAAATTAACAAATTAGGAATGGGGACTTTCCGAAATGAAGCACAAAGAGAAAAACTGGTTTAAAAACAATGAACAAATCCTTGGTGATCTTTAAGATGATCTAAAGCAGTCTAACATACATGTAGGCAGCATCTTCCTCCCCCCAAAAAGAAACAGAGGAACATATGAATACTTGAAGAAATAATAGCTAAGTATTTAAATTTGATGTGAACTATAAACTCACACTCCAAGAAGTTTAAAGGACCCAAAGCGATGTAAAAATATGAAGAAGACCACAAGGCACAACTAGGTAAAAGCTGAAAAGAGATAATAATAACAAAACTTAAAAGCCAATAACTTAAAAGAATAAATGATCTATTAGGTAAAGGAGAAAAGTTGAGAATAAAAACTGATTGAGACAGGCCCGGGATTTAGCTCAGCGGTTTCGCCGCCTGCTGCGCAAGCGCAAGGACCCGAGTTCGATCCCCAGTACCAAAAAAAAAAAAAAAACTGATTGAGAAAAGATACACTGCATGACCCAAGAAAAGGGACACCTGCTGAAAAATAATTATTCCCTTTTAGTTATTAATAATTATTCCCTTCTAGAAAATTTCCTTCCAAAAATGAAGACAAAAGAAGAAAATGTCAGATAAAAGCTGAGAGAATTTAATAACAACAGACATACTATCACATGTTAACGAAGTTTTCCAGGCAGGAAGAAAATGACAACAGATGGAAATTTATATTTTCCCAAAAAAAAAGAGTACCACATATAGTGAATATGTGGATAAATAAAAGGATTTTCTCCTTATAGGACTGAAAGACATTGAGTAAAGAATAAATATGGGTGGCCTTCAGAGTGCATGTAGAATTATGTAAGTAGCACAAAGAATACAATGGGAACAATGTGAGACTTAAAGGGGGTTAAATTATAAGAAAGCTGTATTATTTTTTTGAAGGTAGACTCAGATCAGTTACAAATACATACTGTAAGCAACCCATAAAACAATAAGCCAGACAGGAAAAGCTACTCAGCTAACAGAAAAAATAAAATGGTATATAACAATGAAAGAATACAATTGAAAGAAGTTTTAATAAAGGATTACAGAATGTATGGGACAAGCAGAAAACACGCAGTGAGACGGTAGGCTTACATCTACTGTATCAATGACAACACTAAATGTGGTGGCTCACACTCGAACTAAGAGGACAGACCCGGTGAGGACCCCCTGGGCACTCCCACCAGCCACCAGCTTAACTGCACGGGCAGAGTGGTCCTGGGATGACTGAGACCCCCTCAGTCCGGCTTGCTACACCCACTTGCGACTAGGAGACTGTGAGGACCCCCAGGCACACCCACCAGCCGCGAGCTTAGTTGTGCAGGTGCCTGAAACAACAAACCCCTCCCCCGCAAGTCTGGCCTCTTGGCTGTGCAGCTACTTGGTTCCACACTACAGAGGCACCGGGGGACATAAAGGCCATTGTCCTGAGCTGCAGAAGTGAACAACAGAGAGAGGGTCTCTCTAAGGCTCCCTGATGAAAAGTGAAGCCCACTGGAAAAGTGAGAGAATTTCTGCAATAAAGGCACACCAGACCACCATACTTGGTAAGTTAGAAAGATCATCACTTCCCATCAGAACCTGGACTATCTTCAGGGGAAACACAGCTGGAATCTGCAATAGAACCTTGCAGAGTTTAACTCTGCAGGAGGACAGGGAGCTCAGCTTGGGACTTGCAGCCAGAAATCTGCCTGAATCTCATGGGTCTGTGACTGACTGAGACTCATTGACATAACTGCACACTGCTGCCCATGTTGTCTATTGTGACAGCAGAGACATACCCTGAAGGAGGCCCTTCATTTTTATCTTTTATTTGTTACTTTCAAAATTACCACTATTTTTTTGGCTCTTATTTTTAATTTTTTTCTTTTTCTACTTTAAAAATTTTTTTCTCTTTTTTCTTTTTCTCTTTTTTCTCTCTCCTTCCCTCCCTTTCTGTCCCACATTGTTCTTCACCTCCCTTTTTGTTCCTGTTCTGCCCTAATTCGTATTTCTTCATTTTTCTTTTCTTCTCTTGCCTGTGCCCTCTAGCCTTACTGCTAACCTTTCCCAATCTTCTACCTACCTATCGCTCCCTCCCCAACTCCTTCTAACTCCCTATCCCAAAGGGTAAAGTTGCTATATTGAAGAGTTTATTCATTATAAACATATGTTGGCTGGTCCTTGATTTTGATTCAGTTCACACAGTTAAAGGTGATAGATTAATAACTACCACAAATTGTCATTTTCTAAGAGGTACTTGATGCTATTTGTTGCTAATTGTATCACTTGGGCTAAGGTGTTGTGATTGATCTAATCAGTTGTCCTTCCTGGTATAATGAAAATGAGATAGCCTCAGGGCCATTAGAGACTCAAAACCTAAAGACCAGCTATATCTGGAAGACACTTCTGAGAAGTAATCATTCCATAAGGGTTCTAAATACATCAACAAAGATACTTACAATAAGCAACTTCAAAGTGTCAACCCAGTAACTAAACCAAAGACAGTACCAAAAGCAAAAAGGAGAAGACACTTAAGCAACGCACAAACTAAGACTTCCACCCCACAAAAGGCAAATTCTGGGGGAAACGAGGTGGAAAAGGCTGATAATCAACAACCTGGGCACCCTGAACTGATAGCGCAGAAGTAACAAAACAGATGAATGAGGCTCTAGAAAAATTCAAAGCAGAAATAATCTACCAGATAACTACAGAGATGGTGAGCAGAGTGAAAGACATGATTACCGGCTCTAGAACAGAAACAGATTAAAAAAAAAAAATAGATGAGCTCAGAAACATGCTGGAAGCCATGAATGCCCAGCATAAGAAAGAAATGGAAACTATGATTCCCCCAACATAAAGAAATGGAATCCATGAAACAGATTCAAACAGATATTCAGATTTAAAAACTCCACTGAAAGTATGCACAGCAGATTAAGGGAATCTGAAGATAGTATATCAGATATAGAAGACAGGATTGC